GATTAACCTTCTTAACAAGGATAATGAGACGCGACGCTGAAACGACGCGTGGGTGAGCTCCTTTCCAGGGCCGATATCTCAGACCGAGCCTCCTACTCGGCTTCGCGCCGACAAATGACGCCATAATTGCTCGCGTTAAATCCGAGAGCAAGACAAAAATGCTTTCAATCAATTTTACGACGCCTGACGAGAGACTATTCGGGACGGAAGAAACGGAGGAACGATCGACGAGTCCCCCTTTACAACCCGGCCAATTGCCCTCGACAAGTTTATTGCGCGTCATCTGATTATCCACCCTGTCCCCGTGTAATTCCAACGGGAAAAATGAATTTAACCGACGACTCGGACGGTTACGGGAGATGCATCGCGAGGTGTGAGGCGTGGTTCGCTCGACGTTCGGTTTTTATCGATTCGAGATGATGAACCGGTCAAATGGAGATCTACGAACAATGTTGGAACTACCAGGCGAATCAAAATGACCAGTTCTTCCTCTGAGTCACCAAATGATTTGACACAGCAAAACTGTGAACTTCGATATTTAATATTAAACTTTGTATAGTGCATCAATGTACGAAATATTGAAATAAAGTAGTTCTCTTCCTCGATGCATGTGAGATTTCTTAATTCAACCTGAGAAAATGTCTGTATCTCATTAGAAGTAAAGATACAGACACTTCTTCAAGAAACGATTACAGAAGCTGACGTAGTAATATCTAAACTGAAAGATAAGCCTATTGAGATCTTAATAAATTCACGGCTGCAGCTTTTATAAAGAAATCTTAAGGAACTGGCAACACTTTCATCCAGCGACTTCCGTGACGTGTACGAACGCAGCACAAATCGCTGTCGAGCTCAATTCAGTCGCGACAGTGATAGATTACAGTGAAATGGAAATATAAATTCTAGAATTCGCTGTCGAAGGAAATGCCACGAATCACTGGAGTTCCGCACCTTCGAGCTAAATACTCGTTTAGAGGATAAACTGCCGTTGCGACTATCGGGGAGCATCGTCGAGCGCATCGTCACTCCCCGGGCACTATGCACTCGCGATATTACCGTCGAATGAACGCGAGCTTTCAGACGAGTTAACACTGGAACTACCAGACGGGATAAAATGGCGATTCTTGCGTCGCCATTCTTAACCCTTGGAGCAACGTGGAATGGCACTTTTACTTGCTGTCAGTAAAATCAGTTTATTATTCTTATCGTTGTTATGCTTCTAGTATCTACATTAACGCGTTAATTACTGTGCTAGGCTACCTCTACGAATTTGTTTCCGCTTGTTATCTGTTACGGTAGCTTTCAGCGACAAGTAAACTTGAAATACTCCGGTCCATTAAGAGTCAAGATGATAAAAATGCAAATGCGGCAGTAGAAAGTTCTTAGATTCTCAAGAAATCTGTTTTTCTTTGAAATTAAATAAAGGAAATAATTCTTTGAAATGTACAAAACCTTCAACATATGAAGCTAAATTATATATCAGTTGTTTAATTAATAGAAAAAACTACGTGCTGATCTCTTGTTCAACTAATTAGATCATCTGTCCACCTTAGTCTTTCAAATTTGAACATTTCATCTCGCTAAAATGCAGACATCCGTGCGCAAAGGGTTAAATGATAAACGATCGTTATCAATGATCAAAACCTCAATGATCCTCGCCTTTATTCCTCCGTTTGTCCGCGATTCCGCCTAACCGGGAGAGCAAGTTCTGTGATCGTCGCGCGGAGAAACGTCCGCTCGCGATAAGACGCCGCGAAAAATCATGACGACGGCAATTAACCGCGAAACGGCCCCGGAGGTGACATCCGTCTAATTGCGGCGAGGCCCGGGTACACGTCCATTAACCCGGGGCCGTTGACCACCGTTCTAACGAGGCTCAATTGCGCGAGTCTTTTCGGGACACCGGGAACGCCGGCGCTTTCCACCGCTCCTTCTGCGGGGAAAGGAACTCCGCTCGGTCTGCGCGTGATTTAGGACTCTGGCGGGATCGTTTATCTAACGCTGATGTTCTGGAATCCTCGGATTATTTGAATCGCTCGAAAGCTGATGAGGTTAAGCAGAAAAGGCAAATTGAGGAAATTGAAGTCGGCTTGTGGAACGATTGTACAACGTATAGAAGGTGGAAGAGCTTTCCGAGTAAGAAACGACGAAGCGAATTCTTTAGTAACCGAGGAGAATATCGTTTATCTCATGGAAATTTAAGAAAATCAGAGAATATGGGCGATGGGTTTATCGATGAGTCTCAGGGAAGAGTAGAGTGTTAATTTTCATTGGAAACGAATCGAATTCAGATCGGTTGAAATTCGAAGGAATTAAACTCTGAGAAATTTGAATTTGCATTAGTTCGAAGGAGTAACGCATCAGAATGCTGTAGGACACTTCGTTAACCCTTCGCACTCGGAAATTTTTCATTAGAAATATTTAACAGTTTTTGACGAAGAGGAGACGATATTCTCTGAACGTAACTCGAAGGGAAAACGCAAGTATATTAAGGAGCAAAGCTATTTTATTCGAATATTTCACGTATGGAGGCGTCATCATATTTCATAGTTTTCACGTGTCAAACCAAGCGGCGACCGAGAGTCACCTCCCGAGTGCAAAGGGTTAAAAAGTGTAACCCGAGTGACGACTATTTTCGCAGCGATGCTAGGGGTGTCCTCGAAACCACGGCGCCGTATGTAAGCGTAAAGGAAAATGTTTTTCGAGAGAGTTCTCCTTGGCCGGGTCATTATCCCGCGGCGCGAAGAAGAGGAGGAAAAATGCCGAAGGGGAGTAGAAAGAAAACGATTGAGTAATTAGACGGCCAATCTGTTCCGAGGCACGTAAGACCCCGGCCGAGCAACGTCACGCTTTCTAAACCTAACTGTTCCCCGCCACGGGCCTCTATTTCGGTGCGACCGGGGACTTTTTCGGGCTCTGTTGGTCCTCTCTTTAAATTTAACCCCCTCGCGGCCGGTTCACTATAATTAAGCGCGACGGTTCGGAAAGAAAGGGGAGGCCCTTTTCCGCGGCGTGCGTGACCGTTATCGGCGGCCTCGCGGCGCACACACGAGTTTCGGCGGATCAGTTAACGTCTTAGTGGGTCAACGATACTGTTCAAAGTTCATTCTATTAACGAGATCCCATTGGACACAGCCTGGAAGATAAGCGGTTTAAGCGACGGAAAGAAACTTCGAAACTTGACAGTTCTGTATCGCGCTCCAGATCTCCGTCGAACGGACCAGTCGTTTTTTAGATTTTACACGTAACTCTGGATTAAACGTTATACACTTTAGCGGCGGCGAGCGGTTTCTTGCTCGCGTCTATTTTCGATACAGTTATTAACGCCTGGAATTATCGGACGGCCGAGAGGATGCCGGTCACAATTGAATCTTGAACGAACGCGCGTTCCGATTTCTATAAGAAACTACGAATAAATCAGTGTAACCGCGCGATAGTTTCAGCCTTAATCCGTCGGGATGGGATTAAATGCGCCCGTTCGCTGTTCGCTTTTCGAAACAAAAACTCCTCGTCGGAGGGAAATGGTAAACCGGTTATCGGGACGCGGCCTAACAGGCCGATTTCCGGCCACTAAACGTCTGCCCGCGATATTCGAACGGAAGATTTAAACCCCTTCCCGCGGGTTTCGGGATGGAAACGGAACGAGGACGCGAGCGGAAATGGTGAACGGAGTAACCGGTGCGATCGAGAGAGATCCCGGCCGGGGAGCACCCTAGAATTTTCAGATCATCACCTGATCATCGGGCGAGTGATTATCGAGGACGTGTATCCGTGATAATCGTTCGGTTTTATGCTCGTCAACGGGCTCTCGCGCGGCGCAATTAGATCCCCGGAAAGGATGCGGAGCTTCCCGGGAAGCGAGCCCGGTCATTTTTATCACCGGCGGAACCACTTAAGCAATTCCGCAGATAAAACCGCGAGTACCGGTGTGTAACAGTTGTTTGTATCGAGATAACCGCTCCTATCGTCCACTGCGATTCCCGGTTGATAACCGGCGTTCGCAGGAAATCATCTACGACACCGCGAGGGCTCTACGGTTCCGAGACGCGGCTAATTAAACCGCCATCTGGATGTCCTTAATGAACTTCGGAATTGCTCTTCGAACCAACTGGAAATCGAACCGCGACACTGAGTCACCGGGGACAACGGTCGAGAGGTTTCCGATAAATTTTAACTCGTGTGTTCCGCGGATGAGAATGGAGATTGCCGAGCATTAGTCATAAGATTTCGATGACGGTGTCGCGATTGGGAGATCTCGAGCGAATTCCGTGTGATTTTCGGTTGATACGCGCGACAGAGCAAATATGATGCAAGAAACTTCGAGTGAGTCACTGAACACTGATAAAAGGGGTTTCGTGTAGGGTCGATAAAGGAGACCGATCGATGATGTTCGAAAGATTCCGACCGATTCGGTCCTGTCGCTGGAATCGAGGGGACTCGAGGGGTTCCCTGTAATCCTCGCACGGTTCCCGCAGGAAAAGGGAAGAGCTCGCGAGGAAGGTGTCCGACAATGAACTTGAAGCTCACGGAATTCTTTGGGCGGCTGCGAAGCGGCGCTGCAGTTTCCGAAGCGGCGACGGGATTCAAGGACTGACCCCGCGAGATGCAAATCGATCGGAGCGGCTGAGAAGGGATTCTGCCGCATCCTGTCGCCCTTCGAGCTTCCGCACCCAAGACCCGCAACCCAGCACACTTCCGAGTCGGGACCACCCGATAAGCTAGCCTAATTTCCGGAGTCCCCCCGAAACTGATACACCCGGTTCGATTCACCGATCACAAAATCGTCCGAAGTCTAGCATCTTCCCCAAAGGAACAACACCGTCTCCCGAAGAAGACAACTTTCGAGATCCTCCCTCGTAAACCGAAGATTCGAGCGACGCAGAATTCTCGATCGTGAGAAACCGAGGAGACCAGAGGCGACCGTCAACGAGAAAAATGGCGAGGACCAGCAGCCCAACGGCCGCAGTGCGGCGCGGGAGCACGCAGAACCCGGGAGTTACCTTTTCTTCCCGTATCCGACATTGTCGAGCTCGACGTGCCTGTAGGTCGCGTAGGTGGCCATTCCCTCGATTCTCTCCCTCGCAGGTTCACAGAGTAGTACACCCTTCCTCTTCTCTCCCGCGGCGTCTCCGCCCGACGAAAACACAGAAAACGGCGAACAAAAATGATCAGCCCCGACTGGCGGCGCGGTCCTCGGTCGGAGTCTGGTCCTCCGGCGAAGCTTCCTCTTGCTGGTTCCCGCGAACGAAACCGCGAACCGCCTAATATCTCAGCTCCAGAAACGTCGGTGCTACGAGATCGACGAGGTGTCGCGATACTTCCTACGCCGGCGACGAGCGTTGCTAGACAGAGAGACTCGCCGCGTTCAGCCGAGAAACTCCAGCCAAATGAGGATCCAGCCAGTATATAATGCCTCCTCCACCGGTGCTTCCCTCCTACCTCTCTCTCTCTGGTCCGTGCTTCCTGCCGCTCTCCTTCTCGCTGCCACTCTCTCTTTCTCTCTCTCTCTCGCTCCCACTCTGGCGGCCTATCCTGCGCGCTCTTCGGCTACCGATCTCCCGTCTCCCTCCACCTTTCGACCGGTCCCCCTCTTCCAGCGACTCCGGTGCAAGCTCTCTTTCGGTCTGACTCCCAGCGCGGCTCTCCGTCTCTCTCCGATCGATCCCGCCCGCTGTTCGCCTCTCTGTCCCGCCGACGGTGATCTTCCTGCAAGCTCTCCCCTCTCTGCACCCCCGCGGTATTGTCTCTCGCGTTGCTAGCTTCCTCTCTGTTCGGCCCGTCGTTCTCCGGCCGCGTCTTTCCTCGTCGGCCCCCGTTTCCCTCCGTCTAGCCCGCCCTCCCGCGGCCGTCCGTCCTCCTCCCACTCGTCCAGGAGAGCTCCACCATCCCGGCAGCGCTGCATGCGCTTCCACCCCCGACCGAAGGCCGACGACGCCGACGCGGACTCCGACGCCGGCGTCGTGTATTCACCTCAATCAATACACGCTCGGCGGACCAGACCCAGCTAGACTGGAGGGGAAGGCAGGAGGGACGTGCCGACGCGTAGGCCATCGTCGACGCTCGCTGCATGTGCAGGCCGATGCACGTGCAACCGCGTCGCAAATAATGAGCGTTGTTGTCTGCGAGACGCCGTCGCCGCGAGCGAGCGATCGTTAGGGGATGATCGGCTACGGAGCTGCGCGGAAACCTGGCGGGATTCGAACGGCTCCGAGATTCTCCCGATTCGTGCATGTCGACGCGAATTGTCTCGGCGAGGGGTGGGAACCTGCACCTTCGTCCCTTTCTCGGATTACTGTGCGAGATTATTCTATTTAGGGTAGGTTTTCCTGAGAATGGAGCGGCAACCAGGGATGTGGAGCATCGTAGGAGGCAATCTTTTAGGGAGAACGTAAAGCCAACGCGGAATATTCGTCGCGTCAACTTTCTTTCGCGAGACGCCGCGTAGATTCAGAAAAAACACGCGGCGACTGCAAGGGTTGAGGCCGGCGACGAATATTCAGTGCTCCCCTCGTCCGTCGTGCACGGGATGCGCAGCAGGGCGGATCACGCGATCGACGCAAAATTTCATGGGTTTCCCCGGGTTCGTTTCGAGAGGGACGCCGGGAACATGAAGGGTTGCGTCTGTCCTCGACCCCCGTCGCCGCCCCGGGGACCCGCTCGCCGGCGGGGGTGTTTTTCGACCAGGCGTAACACTCTTTGAGTAATTGACTGATTAAATTGTCGTGTCCCCCCGCTGCCCTTTTGGGACGGTCGATAAGAGGCATCGGGTTACTGGAAATCGAGCTTAAGGGGACGAGGTAACCTCGTCGACGCCTGGCTGGGGTGTTTGGACACGGGGATGAAACCGGTCGATGCTTATTTTATGACGAGTCGTCGGGCCTCGGGTCGTCACATCGTTCAGAGACGTTTCTGGTCGTTATCGTTCTGAAGCGCGTTTCTTCGCTGTGAGCTTCGATGCAGGAGTAGAGGTCATTTTCCTGGAGGTTTGAAATGTACGAAACCTCAGCAGATGAAGCTAAATTATGTATCGATTACCGATCTCTTGATGTTTAAGTAATTCAATCATTCATCGACTTAGTACGTAGAACTGTCGACATTCGTCAGCGAAGACTTGGAATTTGCTTGAAAAATAGGCAGAGCATTAGATGAGTACCCTCCACTTCGAAACCTGCAAGTTCCACGAACTAAACGGACGAACATTAATTCCTCTGGGAACAATAGACGAGCTACAATAAATGTCCGTGAACCTAGTGCTAAGGATCATCGATGCGTCGTTCATCTTCTGTATCCGACACACCGACGGAACACCGCGTAGAAGGTTTCTATTAGCCTTCCGCGCTACTTTCACCGTGGATCGTTTTCAATATTCCCGTGGAAACACTGTAGCCTGGGGTGGGCAACCCCTCGTAGTTCCCGCAGCCACGAAACTTTCGCTTTGCGGAGCTTTTACAGGGCTGGATCGGTAGATATGAATTTAACGGCGAAACCGAAAGATGCTGAAGATATATTGCAAGCTAGGGGAGGCAACCCCTGAGTCAGCCTCTTTTGTCCGGTATCTAGGACGAGTGCAGGAGGGGGTGGCGCAACGCCGGCCGTACTTTCGAGTCCCTTTCGTAGCGTTTATTCTCGTGTGTGCCCGCCTAATGTATTCAACGTTACAGAAACAGTCTACCGCAGTACGGCTGCCACGTCATCTCTGCCAGATTAAAATGAAATATTCAACGATCTTCGTTGTTGTTCTTTCCCTCTCTGTCTCTTTCTTTTCTTCGCGAACGTTGCGAACGTTTCGCGAGCGTCGGATCGACGTCTCACCTAAATCGTTAGCACAGAAACCTATTGTTGCCGGGGGGAACCGGGGTTCGTCGAACTCTGGGTTAATTAAGGATCGAATTAATCCGGAGTAAGGACTCGTAACATGGAATTGTTGTAAACGAGTGATTTCTTCGGGTCTCGCGTAGTCAAAAGGCGCGGCAATTATATTTCATTCGCTCGAACCGTTTAACGACTCGCTCCAAAAAGTGGGTATCACAGCGATCCCGATTCGCCGCTAATTATCAGATGATTTACGGACGATCGTTCGGTGCGATTGTGGCAACGCCATTATTTATGGACAATTATATACGTCGGGATCTTTATTTCGTTAAGGAGCGGCAAAAATGCGGGCTCGCTGCGCGCGCGCGCGCGCTCGGTCGTTTGCGTGGCCAACCTTGTTTCCGCTGGACGACGCACGATATAATCGGGGAGGCCCGGCTCTCTCGTTAACTCTGCGCGGGAGAATCTTCGCGGGATCCGCCATATTGGTCTCCTACTGGATATCGGGGCGATCGGTGCTATTAATCAAACTTCCCGGTAGTTAATTCATTAACTAGACGACACTTATCATGCGTGGCGTTTCAACATTTCGCTAGACTCCCAAACGAAGCTCGTTATTCCTGCGCAAATCAATTAAATCCTTAATTCTTACACATCTCACGTTTCTCCCCTAGGACCTCCGATTCCTCCGGGATTAACCTCTTACATTGGAAAAACGTTCCACGCTCGTTAAGATGTTTTCATTCCAAAATTCCTAATTCCACGCATCGTTTTGTTGCATTACACACAGATTTCTCAAATGTCTCAAATGTCAAAATCATTAACTTCATCGCGAGTCTCACTCGTCATTGTACGGCAAGGGGTTAATAAACGAAGTGTCCTACATCATTCTGATATATTACTCCTTCGAACTAATACAAATTCAAATTTCCATTGATTCGAATTCGATTCGTTTTCAATGAAAATTAACACTACTCTTCCCCTAAGACTCATCGATAATTCCATCGCCCGTATTCTCCGATTGCCGCAAATTTTCATGAGAGCTACCGTCCGTATCCACCTAAAACAGGTAGAATCAAAATTGCTCGTCCACGACTGGCGAACGAAGGCGAGCGAGCAAAGACCACGGAGTCGCCGCAACGGTGATTCCTGAATCCCCTCGCGAGCGATTCCATTGACGTGTTCACAGTGGTCGTTTAATGGGTGCAACTCGCTGGGCGGAGCGTTTTCTCGGTGAAACGGTACCGAAACGCGGTTACACACTCGGTTTCCGTTTTGAGCGGACGCGCGTAGCGGTGTACACAGAGGGCGAGCAGCGCGGGGAGCGGGGCGTGCGCCAGAAACGGAGTAAGACGGAGCGCGCGAGACGGACAGAGCCGGCGCACTGGGGAACTAAAATACGGCGAGCTAACATTAGACGGGCCTGGCATCCGCGATATTTTATTTTTACGATTATGCCGCGGGGGTAACACGCCGCTGCAACCCCTGCCGGCCTGCCAGCGAGAGAGCTCGCGGCCGAGGACTCGATGCCGGACGAATTATCGCCGGCGATAAATTGCCCTAATCCAACGTCGGAGATCCGGAAGTTACGATTGCGGTTCGTTATACAAGCACACGGCCGCTCGTTTCTGCCATTCGGACGGGGGACTTTATGGGAACTTACTTTTTATAGGGCGAACTCGGCCACTTTTCTTCTCGGAGGATACGGGGACCTTCACTCTAACGGGGATATTAGTTTCTTACGAAGGATTAACCGGGAAATTGGGAATCGTGGAGTAACTTGTAACGCAATCGATTCCGTGGAGGTATGATAGCGGGTATGATAGAATGATGATACGAAGGGAATAGATTGTAATTTCATCTCTGGTGATCGTTGGCTGTAACTTAGTTTCAGAGTAATGGACTGCAAGAAGTGGATAGAATGTAACGGTGGTAATAATATTAATGTTATATGTATAGTGGAAACAGATTGTTAGGCAACGGGTTACGAGAGTTTAATCTAATTTCACTTGTAGAGCACGATCCCCGAGACGCGAAGCAACATGTTCTCCGAACGTTTTTCGTGAAATTAATCGAGCGGATTAGATCCGATAGAAATATCCATCAAACTTCTTCGAGACGAGTCCAGCGATGGCATAAACTGTTGTAAGAATGATTTTGAAGCCAGCCTTCGTGACGCATCGCTGAACCAGGAAATCGAATCCATCTCGAGCTATGAAGGCCGATATTGTGTCAATGTCGAGGCTGATTCCGCCGGGCGATTAGCGATCGATCTATTTCGCTGGGACTGCTGTGTCTGACCGACGCAGACACTCTTAGACCGACAAATGAAATCGAGTAGTACTTTTCTGCTTGATATCTCTTCGATCTTCGCGTAGAAAAGAGAATGTAGAGAAGATCGCTTTGCGAAATCGAAATCGAAGCGACATAAAAGGATTAAATAGAGCAGAAATGTGCTTCGATCCGTTGTTTCGCAATTAGTACCTTAAAAACATTGAATATTCGAAGTGATCTTGAAAACGGTTTCACTTGAGTTGTGATCAATGTCTGAAGAAACCGAGAATAATCTATTACCATATTCATAGATAATTAGAATAATTAGAATTCTCGATAATTCTATAAAAGAATTTCGATAAATCGGAAGAAAAAGCATCATTAATG